TTGTAAACAAATAGATTTGGAAATTTTTAAAGAACGTTTTCGAAAATTATTAAAAACAATCGATTTAAAGAAGAATTTTAGTTAAAAATTCTTGAAATTAATTATTGAACCGATAATGATTTTATCACTCGGTCATCTTTATTTATTATAAAACAATGAAGAAACCGATCACTCCGAGTCGAAGAAATCGTAAAATTGTTACTAGGAAAAGATGATTAAAAAACAGTTTTCTGCCTTTAAAGCTTTCATATATAAAAATGCTATTTTTATTATTTTAAGAAACTGCTTTCGGAAAATTGTATTTTCTCTCTCGTTTCGCTTTTTAAAAGGAAATTTTCACTCACTTTTTTAATCTTTAAATTACTAAGGAAAATGTCTTGAAAATAGCAAGACAGGGTTTAGATTTAAACAAGTTTTAAGTCCAGTTAGAAAAAAATGTTAAAAAAAATTAACCAACTTGTAACGATTAACGAGAAAATTTCCACTCACTTTTTTAATCTTTAAATTACTAAGGAATATGTCTTAAAAATAACAAGTTTTTTCGGTTTAGATTTAAACAAGTTTTAAGTCCAGTTAGAAAAAAATGTTGAAAAAAATTAACCATAATTTTTTAATTCGATTAAATAAACTCACGATCTTAAAACTCTTCAATATCGGAAGAGCCAAAAACAGAAATAAAATATTTGGTTAAAAATTATTTTATAAAAATAAATAATAGACGGATTATTAATAAACTTATTATAAAACTAGATCAGAAACTCTAATAATAATAATTTGAATATGTGGTAGCATTTTCTGTTTAATTTAAATAAACATATTAAAATTTATATATTCATTTCCTTCTCTGTGCCTTCACTTCAGTATTAGTTTTAATTGTATTTGTTAAATGGAGTATCAGATTAGGTAATATTTTACGATCTCCGCTTAAGAAATTAATAATAAACTTATTCATAACTTATTCTTTCTTTTTGATAATTTTTGAAAAGTGATATTAAATTCTTGTTGATAACTCATAAAAGTGATATTAAAGTAGTAAAGTAAATTTTTTCAAATATAAAATAATTTCAATAAAAAAGAATTTTTTTAATATTTTGAAATTGCGACACAACGTAAGATTAAATACTCTTGTAAAATATGCTTTCTTATTCCCACTAATAATAAATAGTATTCATAAACTACGTCACGCTATTTTGCACTATTTTTCCACCCCCCCCCCCCCAACGTCACAAATTCAACTTTTCAAAGCTGTGGATGCATAAAATTCTATAAATTCATCTTTGGCTTTTTGATATTAAAGTAGTTGTAATATTTTAACAAATCGATGACTGTCATGTGAATATAGCACGTGTAAGAAATGATATAAATTTAATCATGCATTTAATCATAAAAATACGAGAGTTTGAACATTTTATTGCGAAACCAGTCGATAAGCGTCACGAAAACGTGTCACTAAAAAGTTTTTTTTTACCTTCATTGAAATAAAATTATATGAACAAATACAGAAGTTTCCATCTAGTGCACGAAATGAATAATCATTTTCTGTAAAATATTTGTAACTCTAACGTAAACACTAGAAAAACAAAAATTTTAACCATATCAATTAAAATGGCTTCAAACTACAACTATAGCAAAATAATATATTTTCCCTTATAAAACAGAAAAAGAAAACTCTGTCTGCGCTGTTTTTTCATCCTCTGTTCAAAGAAAATTTTGCAGTGTGGGTGTATCTCATTAAAAATCTAAACCAATAGCGAATCCTGACTTAGCCTCTCTCCATTTCCTCCTACTTTTGCACTCTTCTTTTATTTCTCTGACGCTTTTTTCTCACTCTGTGCAAAGAGAATTTGTAATTTTTATTAGCCAATTAGACAAACGTTTCTTTTATCTGTCTTTTCTTATTTTCACTCAAGCTTCTCAATCTCTTTTTTATTATCTCTTCTTCTTTAATAAAACATTTTTTTCTATAATCATCTTTCCTGACTTTTATATAAAATAAGTAAAATCTCCTCGGTTCCTGGTCTACATTGGACAAAATCTTTTATCTGCGAAGATCATGAGACTCGAAGTAATTTTTTAAATCTTGACTACTTCTCACTGTTTGACGCGAAAGTTAACTTAAACATTGCATGAAAGTTTCTTAAACTCACAGTAAATCGTTAGGTGTTAAAATAATACCAGAATGGATAAAAAAAATCTACAACACTTTAATCCTTCTTGGATTAAATTAACATCAGAAAGAATAAAATAATCCATTTTGGTGTTATTTTTTAATATATGAATGAAATTTTACTTCTAATCAAATTCAAAACGATGTCAATGATTTGTCAAAGAAAGTTAAAGTTAATCTAAGTCTAAGATTAACTATAGTCACAGTGAGTCTAAGTCTTAGTCTTAGTCAAAGTCATAGTCAAAGACTAAGTTTAAGACTAAGACTAAGACTTTTTATTAGACTAAAACTAAGACGTAGTATCAGACTAACACTAAGACTTAGTATTAGACTTGGACTAAGACTAATACTTAGACTAATACTTAGATTAATACTTAGACTAATACTAAGACTTAGACTAAGACTTATATTAAGACTAATACTTAGACTAATACTTAGACTAATACTTAGACTATTACTTAGACTAATACTTAGACTATTACTTAGACTAATACTTAGACTAATACTTAGACTAATACTTAGACTAATACTAAGACTTAGACTAAGACTTATATTAAGACTAATACTTAGACTAATACTTAGACTAATACTAAGACTTATATTAAGACTAATACTTAGACTAATACTTAGACTAATACTAAGACTTTGACTAAGACTTATATTAAGACTAATACTTAGACTAATACTTAGACTTAGACTAAGACTAATACTTAGTCTAATACTTAGACTAATACTTAGACTAATACCAAGACTTTGACTAAGACTTATATTAAGACTAATACTTAGACTAATACTTAGATTAATACTTAGACTTAGACTATTACTTATACTAATACTAAGACTTAGACTAAGACTTATATTATGACTAATACTTAGACTAAAACTTAGACTAATACTTAGACTAATACTAAGACTTAGACTAAGACTAATACTTAGACTAATACTTAGACTTTGACTAATACTTAGACTAAGACTTAGACTAATACTTAGACTATTACTTAGACTAATACTTAGACTAATACTTAGACTAATACGTAGACTAATACTTAGACTAAGACTTAGACTAATACTAAGACTTAGACTATGACTTATATTAAGACTAATACTTAGACTAATACTTAGACTAATACTTAGACTAATACTTAGACTATTACTTAGACTAATACTTAGACTAATACTTAGACTAATACTTAGACTAATACAAAGACTAATACTTAGACTAATACTTAGACTAATACTTAGACTAATACTTAGACTAATACTAATACTAAGACTTAGACTAAGACTTATATTAAGACTAATACTTAGACTAATACTAAGACTTTGACTAAGACTTATATTAAGACTAATACTTAGACAAATACTAAGACTTAGACTAAGACTTATATTAAGACTAATACTTAGACTAATACTTAGACTAATACTAAGACTTTGACTAAGACTTATATTAAGACTAATACTTAGACTAATACTTAGATTAATACTTAGACTTAGACTAATACTAAGACTTAGACTAAGACTTATATTATGACTAATACTTAGACTAAAACTTAGACTAATACTTAGACTAAAACTTAGACTAATACTTAGACTAATACTAAGACTTAGACTAAGACTAATACTTAGACTAATACTTAGACTTTGACTAATACTTAGACTAAGACTTAGACTAATACTTAGACTAATACTTAGACTATTACTTAGACTAATACTTAGACTAATACTTAGACTAATAGTAAGAGAATTTGACATAGACGAAGACTAAGTCAGAGTTTTAGTCAAAGTCACAGTCAAAGATCAAGTTCAAAACTAGGACTAAGTCTTAGTATTAGTCTAAGGCTAAGACTATATATTAGACTAAGACTAAGACTTAGTATTAGACTAAGACTGGGACTTTGATTAATACTTAGACTAATACTAAGACTTAGAGTAAGACTTTGACCAAGACTTAGACTAAGACTTGTACTTTGTTCAATACTTAGACTGATACTAAGACTTGGACTAAGACTTAGACTAATACTAAGACTAATACTAAGACTTGGACTAACAATTTGACCAAGATTTAGACGAAGACTAAGACTTGGACTTGGACTTAGACCAAGACTTAAACTCGCTTCGACTTCCTTTGACAAATCGTTGGCTTGGTTTGATTTGAAGTCAAATTTCATTCATAGTAAAAAATAACACCAAAATTGATTATTTTAATCTTTTTTGGTGTTAATTTAATCTGCAACGCTTTTTAATACCTGCTTCATCTAAAATCAAAAAATAAAAAAAAAATTGTTAGTGGGTGATTGAACGAAGGCACAGTGGGCCAGATTGCAAAACAGATTGCAACCCCTAGATGTGTTTAAAAGTGGATGATATTTCTTACTCGGGGGTTTTTGGGGTCGCTGATTACGAATCTGAACTTGGTTTTTCAAAATTCAAAATGGCGGATCCAAAATGGCGGACGACTTTTTCAAAAATTGATCCAACCGACCTGAAATTTCTTACTCGGGGGTTTTTGGGGTCGCTGATTACGAATCTGAACTTGTTTTTTCAAAATTCAAAATGGCGGATCCAAAATGGCGGACGACTTTTTCAAAAATTGATCCAACCGACATGAAATTTCTTACTCGGGGGTTTTTGGGGTCGCTGATTACGAATCTGAACTTGGTTTTTCAAAATTCAAAATGGCGGACGACTTTTACAAAAATTGATCCAACCGACCTGAAATTTCTTACTTGGAGGTTTTTGGGGTCGCTGATTACGAATCTGAACTTGGTTTTTTAAAATTCAAAATGTCAAATTTATTAAGCAACTTCAAAATTATATAAAATAATTAAAATACATTTTTGGTTAGTCATCCTCCATGTCTGTCGACTCGTCGGTGGAGGAGTTCTCATAATTACGTAAGCCATACAATCTTCCTTCATTTTCTGTTCCTATTAACAGTTGAGTTACTTCGACAGATAGCTGTTTTCTGCTCTTAGGATGTTTTTTTTCTTTACTCGAAATAAAGGGATCAGAAATTACAAGAAGACGGTTAAAAACATCTTGCATGGTTGTTGTTCTTGATGATTTTCTGGCAAAATGTTCTCTGTAATTTCTGATATCTTTATTTCGAGCTTCTTGTGCATCTTCAGACATTTGGCCAATTGGAAGCGGAGACCAGTCAATAATTACAGCGCCATGAATAAATACTTTGTGAACTGTTGTCGACATACAGTACCACGGATATAACGATACACAAATTTCAGCTGTTTCAAACGAGTATTGTTGAAAAGCATTCACATTAACGGCGAAACCACTTGACATTACTTGTAAAATTACATAAACCCGTTTCATTAAATCCGAATCGACTCCTAAAATTCTAGCAGATACATCATAATTTTCAAAGAAACGTCTAGCAGTATTTCCGTCATTCGAATTGCCTGACCCTACTTTCGGTGTATCAATAATTAACTCAAGCTGATTTTTGAAAGCTCCTTGAATTACCCGTTTTCGTTCCTCGATAATAATTTTGTCAGATTTGCGTGCCTGCCATGTTTTAGTTTGCATTTTGTAACCCACATGTAAAAAAAATTCCATACAGCGCATCCACGCATGCAAGGTAGACAGGCCAAAACCAAGAGCAGATTCATCAATTTCTTTTGTTTTCATTGCATTTATATCGTTAAATTGCGAAGATGTTGCCTTACATAAATAACAGCGCATTGCTGATGTTGTGTTTGTTACGGCATTACAAACTTTCATGTCAATCATCGTAAAATACATTTTAAAATTAATCTTAATTTCCTGTCCATTAATTACTGTATTAAAAGGTTGGAGAGAAGCAATTTGATTGTCAATGTTCTGCTTTTCACTTAATGTTGATTCTACGGTTTCTTTTATAAATTGAATATGTATAGGCCTACAAAAGCGTGTTGACGATGGTTTTGGATTTTTCCAAATAACAACATTTTTTTTTAAATTTTCGTCGAAACCTAAAATTTGCAGCGGTACTAACGATGTCAAAAACATATGCGAATCTGAACTGTCATCACTCGTAAATTTTTGCTTGTACTCACTTTGGCCTGAGCTACCATCGCAACCCCACTTACAAATTAATCTCAGATTTTTAACTACTTCAACGTCCAATGAATTTATGACATCCGTTTGTACCATTAAAATTCGATCACATGTGTGATTTAACAAGGATTGCAATTTTACTTCAGCTGAAATCTCTGAAACTGTAATATCTTGTGGATAACATCGAGCTTTTGCTTCTACAATTTTTCTATAAGATGGATATGCATTGAAGTTTTTACGACGCAACGAACTTCTTATATCTAAATAATTTTGTTTCGTGAGTTTTGCTCCAACAATGTCGACAAGTGCTTCGTCGCCAGTCATTTCAATTGGGGCAGATGTTAAAGATGATTTGTACGCCGTTCTATATTTTGATGCTCTTGCCGGTGATTGTGTTATAACTTCTTTTAAAATAGCAGCAGCATCTACAGCTCCAGATGATCTTAAACTCATTTGGGTAGCATAAGCCAACTCTTCCTTACTAAAATCTTCGCGGATTTTAGTTGTCTTTCGTCGTTTAGTCCGATCACTGGAATCCTCAAAACTTGTAGATGGTCGGCCGCTTTTATTTGATTTAGTTGCATCAGTCCGAATGACACGAGTGCACTGAAAATGTATTTAAAATTTTTCAAATTTAATTTTTAACTTAATTTTCATATATTGTAATTTATTCTATTTTCATTTAAAATTTAATTTTTAAATTTAATGAACTAAGAAAATGTGAATTATTGAAAATCATATAAATGTTTACGTACCACAATACTAACTGTATTATTTAACCAATCATTATTTTTATTGAAAAAGGCTTTAATGACAAAATGTGATTCTGACCACCTGGATTTTATTTTCGATAGTAATTTTTTCAAATTAGCTACTTCATCCTTATGAAACTTTAAATTGTCACCGTCAGAATTTTCATTTGCATGATTTTCAATCGTGTTAATCTGAGCGTCTAAATCATCACTAAATTTCCCTTTAAGTAAGTCAAAAATTTCTCTTCTCGTGTAACTCACGGTTATTTTATCAGTATCTGTAACAAACCGAAAATAAAAAAAAACTTTAATATTTTAACATAATAATATTAAGTTAAAGTTCATAATTTATAAATATAATTATTATTCATACTAATGTATTATTTTATAATATTCTTTATGTACTGTATATTTCAATTTTTAAATATACATATAACCTTGAAAACAATTATTTTCAATATTATAATTATTTTGCTTTTAATTTGTTTTTTATAGTATTATTTTTAAAAATTATTATTATTATTGCATAATTTATTAATTACACACAAATTACCTAAATTTGTTATAATTTTAAATTATTAATTTAAATATATATTTTTATTATAAATAAATGAATAATAAATTATTTTTATTAAATTTGTTTAATTATTTTTATTTATTAAGCAATAAATTACTTTTTAAACACCCGGTATATATTACTATATTGATATATATGACACCGTGTATATAAAATGTTTCTAAACAGCTGGGGTGCTCTTATATTCTATTGCACACACACACACACATTACCGTGCTGCTGGATGTTTAACACTTTTTAGGTTATATCTCTTCAAACTGGTAAAAGTTGGTGGATTTTTTTGCATATTCTTTTAAATAAAGGCCTAATCTAAATATCCCAATTGCTAGTTTCATGGGATTTCTTGGATAGATAACTTTTTCAATACTTCTTTGAAATTTTTGAAAAAAAAGATTCAAGAAAAGATGAGCTCACTTTATGCAATATTTTAAAAGTATACTAATAGTAATATTCAATTCAATTAAAATTAAATTAATATAAAAAAAAAATAAATAAAAAAAATAAAATAAAAATAAAAAAATAAAAAAAAAATAAAAAAATTAATATAAATTAAATTAATATACATACCTTTAGAAGTATTTTCCATTTTGTTTTATTAAAATTGATGCACTTTTCATAAAAATATTACTCTTTTATGTACACACACTTCCACACTGTACAATTAAGCAGCTCAACTGTCACTTGGAGGGGCAACTTTTAACTGATGTAACTATTCTAAATGGGCCCTATGCTCCTTTATATTTTACTATAGTGTGCAGAAATGTGTCCTCTAGTAAATTCAATAGTTAAAACATTTAAATTAAAAAAATTTTTTTTTAGGTTTTGGCCAGGTTTTTTAAAGAAATTGTTTGGATTTTTGACAATGTCTTTTGTTAAAAGTTACAATTTTTAGAACTATTAAGACCATGTAAAATCGGTTCTAATCAACAAAAAAAAGAACCCTTCGTTTTTTTTATGAACATTAAAAAATTAAAAATCCATTTGAATTTTATTTATTTTTTCACAGTACCTCCAATTATTGAAAATTTGTTATAGTTTTTATACAAAAAGCTTCTTTGAAAGAAGTTTATGAGCTTCTTGTAGTAAATCAACCTAACTTGTCTGTTTTTAACGATTGGAAAAATATATTTAAATTTAAATTATTTTACAATTTTATAACGTGTTATAGAGACTTGTCATAGGAGTCAAATTAAAGCTTGAACCCTCTACGCAAATAATTGTAAACAAAAATTGTAATTACCAAATTTTCAAAATGACAGCATAACTACAATAGAAAACTAAAACTATTTCAATGAAAACTGTTCCACAAAAAATTAGTAAACCATTTTCATTAATTTTTCATATTCTTAAAATTTAGTCATTTTTTAAAAATCTGTTTGCTGAAAGTTCAAGAAAATCAAAGTTAATATAATTAATAAAATCTCGATTTCGCAAAATTCTTATTTTATTTCGTAAATTTCAGGGTTCTATTAATAATTTGTTAAGAGTCGCTTTCTTAAAAAGATTTTATAGAACTTTATGACTATGATTAGACAATTATTATTATTTGTAGATGTCCAACTTTTTCCTAAGTGGTAATGTAAAAAGTGGATTTTTAAAGAGATGTTTACACCTATTAGAGAAAAATGCAGAAGTAATACAAAAATACACTGTTCACGATACAGATAGGAAAATGAACTTATTACATAAGTAATATTTTAACTTTATTTTTTCGGTGATAATTTTTATAGCTTTTTACTATTCAAAATTATTTGTAAAAAGTTTATAAAATATTTTTGATTAAGGTTTGTGAAGAGGATAGCCACGCTACCGAAACAAAAAAGCAATTGTGTTTTCAATTTTTTTTTTAATTACTTAATTCGATTCAATCAAAAATCTAAAGCATTATTACTAAAATTTTTTATTCCATTAAATGTATTGTGAAAAAATAGATTAAGCTCCATTCTTTCAACGAATCTCACTGATAAAAGTCGCCTATTACTTTTTAAATTTGCATTTATTGAGTTTTAAAAGAATCGTTTCACAGCCAATCAGTTATTCACTCTCTTTGTCGATGGAACTTTTCATTGAAATGGATTTTTTCAATTTGGCTTTGAAAAGATAATTTAGAATTCACCAAATTAAAGTCTATTTGTTTCACTTATAACATCTCTTTAGTATTTAATTTATACAATTTTTATGTTTTATACTTAAACGTATGATGTATATTATTCACAATTTTAATTTATATTTACGAGAATGAATTAATTTTAAAAATAGTTCATTTAAAAATAATCATTTATTTTAAATATTCGAAAATATTAATATCGTGGCGCCATTTATAATGCTGGAATTAACAATGACATGGAAAATATTAAATGCAGGACCGATATAAATCTGGAGTTGAGTTGGTATCATGAATGCGTTGACAACCTTATTCAGAGAAAGGTACTTAGAGTTCACACATACGTACATTTACATAAATCCTTACGAGAGCTACCTCGAATCCCCGTCTTCAGAATTAAATGTAGCTTAAATCCCTCCAAAGGATTTGCAGAGAGATTCTTTTCCACTCGGCAAAAATTCAGGTAGTGGAAAAAAGTCATACTTTCTGTTGAAAGTAGAAGTAATTTTATTGGAATACTTATCAGAAATTAAAAAGTTTAAAAAAATTTTTGAACCCACTGAGTTTATTGCTAAAATATTTCTATGAAATATTTTTATGAATTAATTTATCCAAAGTAATCAAATTAAAGTTTTAAAAAGGCACTATTTTTTGTTGCAATGTTGTCTTCCCAGCTGAAAAAGTTCTATAGAATTTCACTAAAATAATTCTATAAAATAATTCTATATGAATTCTAGTGAATATTCTACAGAATTTCACTAGAATGATTCTATAGAATTTCTACATGAATTCTACTAAACTTTATTGATTTTTAATAAGAAAGAATTTAAATTCGTGTAATAATATTTTTCAACTTCATATTATTGTGCAATTAAATTTTACATTTAATTTCTACGACACATTTTTGGGAAAAAATTGTTTATATCATTTAAATATATATAATTCATTTAACTTAGTAACAGGGCTCGAACCAGTGTAAGTATTTAAAATTAATTAAATTAAATTAATTAAATTCAGGCTTCACAGTGACCCAAAAAAGTACTTTAGGGAAAATATGGGACTGAAAATTAAAAAATAGGGGACCATAAAAATTGGTTAAATATAAAAATTTAACTTTATTTTTCCCTGACCCTAAAGAATATTCTGATTTACTCTAAAAATTATTAGATACACTTAAAAAAATGTTTTATTAAATTTATTTACAAATTTCTTCAAAAGTCAAATTATTCGAAAACATCAATAGTTTTATTTAAAATAAACATTTAAGCAATTTTTTTCATTTGAATTAGGATGTTCAAAAATTTCAAATTCAAACCTTTTCAAATTGAACAACTTTATAAAACATAAAGATGACCGACTGACAAAATCATTAGTTTATTATTATAAGAATATTGTTACTGTAATTTATTCAAAATTATTTGTATCATTTCAATTCAATTAACATTTTCTAGAATTTTTAACTGAAATTCTACTTTAAATCAATAACATCAATTATTATTCAAATAAACTTTTTTAAAAAAAATTAATTCTCCAGAATTTTTAGTTAAAAGTACGAAAAACAATAATTTAATTCTACGAGAAATCAATTATTTAAATACAAAAATAAATAATATTGAATGTTTCTTAAAATTTAATTTTTACGAAGAATTGAATAAACAACTTTTGAAAATATTTAATTTCTTTTAAGGAATTTAATTAAAATTTTAATCAAATTTATTATATTAATGAATTTTATAACAATTTTTGAAAATAATTGAAATAAACTTTTTGAAGAATTTTATTAAATTTTTTTAAAATAATTGAATTCCTGAGAAGAATTTAAATAATAATTTTTGAAAACAATTGAATTTATGAGAAGAATTTTAAAAAAATTTTTTTAAATAATTGACTTCAGAAGAATTTTAAAAAAAAATTTGACAATAATTTAGTTCTTGAGAAGAATTTCCCTATCTATTTATAAAGATAATTTAATTCTTGACGAGAAGTTTTAAAAAATTTTGAAAATAATCTAATTTTTGCAAAGTATTTTATTACTTTTCAAAAGAATTTAATTTTGGAAAAGAATTTTATTAAAATTCCTTAGAATAATTGATTTTATGGGAAGAATTTATGCGATTTTGTTATTTATCAAGCTAATTGAATTCTTTTGCAAATTTACTTAAAATTTTTTGAAAATAATTGATTTTTTGCTACGAATTAAATGTTATTTATAAAAATATTTGCATTATTGAAACGAATTTTATTGTTTTATTGAATAATTGAATGTTCCTTAAAATTGAATTCTTTCCTCAAGTTTTAATAAAATTCTTAATAATAATTGCATTTTCAAAGAATTTATTTAAAATTGTATTAAAAATATTTGAAATTCTACGATGAAAATAATTGAATTCGTAAATGAAATTTTATTATTTATGAAAATAATTGAATTTTTTCGTAGAATTTATATTTATATTTAAAAACATTGAGTTGCGAAAAACTTTTAAAAATAATTGAAATGTTGCAAAGAATTTTATTAAAATTTTTGAAAATAATAGAATTCTTGACGAGATATTCATTAAAATTTATAAAAATAATTGAATTCGTGCAAAATATTTTATTTAATTTTGTTTAAATAATTGAAATTTTGCCAAGAATTTAATTAAAATGTTTGACAATAATTGGATTCTTCAGAAGAATTTTGATATTTATCAAAATAATTGAATTTTGGAAAAGAATTTAATTAAAAATCCTTAAAATAATTGATTTTATGGGGAGAATTTTGTTGGTTATCAAGATAATTGAATTCTTTTGCAGAATTATTTAAAAATTCTTGAAAATAATTGATTTCCTGCAACGAAAAAAATAGGGGAAATTTTCAAAATAGGGTACGTTTAGGGGCCAAAATTAAAAAAAAGGGACTTTTAGGGAAATAGGGGACAGACTGTGAAGCCTGTAAATTGAATTTTAAAATTCAATTACTTCTAAAGATTCACGCTATAACGTTTTTAATATTCAATTATTACCTGGAATTAATTTTTAAATCAATTTTTATTAGAAAATTCTACTAGAATTCAATTATTTAAATACAAAAATAAATAATTTATTGAATGGTAATTAAATGTTTCTTAAAATTAAATTCCTATAAAGAATTTTATTACCAATTTTTTTAATTATTAAATTCATTCGACGAATTTTAATAAAATTTTTAAGAATAATTACGTTTTTCGAGAAATTTGATTAAAATTATATTAAAAATAATTGAAATTCTGCGATGAGTTTTATTATTTGTGAAAATAATTAAATCCCTAAGAAAAATTTTATTATTTTTAAACAATATTTAATTTTTGCGAAGAATATTATTACTCTTGAAAACAATTGAATTTTTTAAATAATTTGTAACTTTTCTAAAATAAAATTTTTGTTTCGTGTTTTTAACTAAAATTCTTCTAAAAATGCATTATTTTTAATAATTTGTGAAAAAGTTCTTTAAGAATTTTCCAATTTATTTTTTAACAATTCTATTTTACAAAATTTAAATTATTCGGAAATTCTCTAATTAAATATATATTAGAAGATAAAAACTTTAAATAATAGAAAAAAAATTTAATTACACTTTTTCAAAAAA